GAATATTATCAAAATTTTGCAGATATGAGACACGCTGATGAAATATATAATATTGGACGTTGTCATGAAAATGGAATCGGAGTTGAAAAGGATGAACATAAGGCATTCATTTATTATCAAAAATCTGCAAAGATGGGTAATATTAAAGGAACATTTAATGTTGGATATTGTTATCAAAATGGAGTTGGAGTTGAAAAAGATGAACACAAATCATTCATTTATTATCAAAAATCTGCAAAGATGGGTAATATTAAAGGAATATTTAATGTTGGATATTGTTATGATGAAGGAATTGGAGTTGAAGAGGATAAACATAAGGCATTCATTTATTATCAAAAATCTGCAGAGATGGGGTACGATGTCGGAACCATTATGGTTGGATATTGTTATGACAAAGGAATTGGAGTTGAAAAGGATGAACATAAGGCATTCATATATTATCAAAAATCTGCAGAGATGGGGCACACTACTGGAACATATATGGTTGGACGTTGTTATCTTAATGGAGTTGGAGTTAAAAAGGATGAACATAAAGCATTCATTTATTATCGAAAATCTGCAGAGATGGAAGACGCTACTGGAACATATCAAGTTGGATATTGTTATCAAAATGGAATTGGAGTTGAAAAGGATGAACATAAGGCGTTCATTTATTATCAAAAATCTGCAGAGATGGGACATGTTAATGGAACATTTAGTGTTGAAGATTGTTATCAAAATGGAATTGGAGTTGAGAAAGATCGTAGCAATGCATTAAATTCTTACCGTAAAATTTTGGGAATGAGTTATGTAAAATGCGCACAATGTAGTCTATATAATGGATCACAAATATGGTGCGAACTGTGTGATTCTTATCTTTTAACGAATAAAGAATTCGCAAGTGGAAATGAAAATATCGATAATTATCTAAAAAAATCTCAAACTGAAGCCTTAACATATGAGGATATCATTGAATGGATTCCATACAATAGATTAATTAATTTGCAAGAAATCTACGTTGGATCTGAAAAAGAATTAATGGGACTCTGGCTGGATGGGATTCGAACAATCGAATTTACGATCGATCAATGTTACAAACAACTACGGACACAACCTCATATGGTTCATCTAAAGAAATTAAATAGAAGTCAAACTAATACTTTGGATTTTATAAATGAGGTAATTTGAGATCGGTCATTGTATTCCTTATTGAAACGTACATCACTAACATATATAAATCACTCATTTACAAGCTTAACACTATAATGCAATCGAATAAACGTAAAGTATATGGGATAACTCTAAATACAATAGATTATAAATATATGGCGGTTTTGTCAGATGGATTCGCTTCTCTAAGAAAAGGCGATTTGGGTAAATGTTTAAATTGTACTAGATATAATACTTCACCGGCATGGTGTCAGTCATGCGATCCTTATATTACAAGCCAAGGATGGACAAGTGAATATAAGGAAATTGATGATTGTATTAGAGAATTTCAACTTAGATCTGCTAAATATAATGAAGTAATTGAATGGATTCCATTTGATAAGTTAATTAATTTAACAAAGATCGGTGAAGGTGCATTTAGTAAAGTATTTTCAGCAACCTGGCTGGATGGTGTACGAACAGTTGAGAATAAAATGCCGGTACGTGAACAATATTGCAAAGTTGCGCTCAAGACTTTACCAGGTTTCCAAACGGATTCATCAAAATTTTTACAAGAAGTAAGCTAAATTATTTATTTTCACGCATATTTATCGTTATTTATTTTCATGCATATTTATCATTATTTAATGAAAATATTTGATAAAATTTATTTTCAAGTTTAAAAACCACATGCATTGTAGATTAAAGGGCAGTTCTCTCGAAATATATGGATTAACTCAAAATACAGAAACAAGTGAATTTATGATGGTGTTTCAATTTGCAAATAAAGGAAATCTTCATAACTTTTTAAAATCAGAGTTTACAAAACTCAAATGGCAAAAAAAATTATGGAAACTTTGGGACATATCAAAAGATCTGGCCAGAATCCACGAGGCTGACTATGTCCATGGTGATTTTCATAGTGGGAATATCTTACTGCACCAATATATTAGCTATATGAAGTGTTACATCGCAGATTTAGGATTATCCAGAAAGAAAGATGATCATTTTCCGAATGGAAATATTTATGGAGTTATGCCTTATATCGCTCCAGAAGTATTGTTAGGCGGTGATTATACCCAGGCAGCTGATATTTATGGGTTTGGAGTTATTATGGCAGAGATGTCAACTGGAGAGAGACCTTATGATGGATATCCGTTTAATACTGAGCTTGCAATAAAAATTTGTCATGGATTACGACCACAATTTGCACCTGAAACTCCTGATTGCTACGTTGAATTAGCCAAGCTCTGTATGGATTCAGAGCCACAAAATCGACCTACCGCTGAAGATATTAATCTAAAAATTTATGATTGGCAACAAATTTTAAGAGTTCGTGAATATTCTGTAAATAACAATGAAAAACTTGAAATTCGAGAGAAATTTTTGATTGCTGATAAATTAATTGAATCATTATCAATTACATCAAGAAATTTAGATTCTAAATTTACTAGCAAACTTATCAATACACAGGAGATTAAAACATCATTAACTACATTTAAAAAGCACCCAGATTTTATGTATACTACTAGACTTATAAACACATTAGAAATTCTAGATGCTTATAGCAGGTCTATTGAAATCAATAAAGCAGGTGAGTTTCAGTTATAATTTTTCTTTTCTTATTGAACCTAACTTTTGAAAATTCAATTTGTAATTATATCTAGATTCGGGGCTTCATGATCTTAGTATTTCAAGCATTTTAAGTAAGAATCGTTTACCAAATATTATAATTCTGAGATAAGTTTAAAAGTTTTGCAAACTATTATTTATTTACTTTCTTTTTTAATATAACAAATTACTTAAGGATTATCTAATAATAACGATGGTATGTCGATTTATGTATAGTTTATCTGATAAAATATAGGGTTTTTACATACAAATGTTAAATTTATAGATGATAAAAATCGTACGCTTTCTTATAAAAGAAAAATATTAACTATTAATGGTTGGCTAAATTTTTTTTATTTAATATTACTTTTATGAATACATATTAATAAATATTTTTAATCTCTTAGATAATTCTGAAGAAAATAAATTACGTAAAAAGTTAAAAAGTTGATTTAAAATTTTATATTTTATATTGAATAATTATCTACATTGTGCGTCAGATGAACTGTATAGCGCATCTTTATATTGACAATTTTGCAAATTTTATAATGCAAAATTGCATTAATTTAAGTTAATATTAGTTTATATTTGCTAGAGGTTATGGTATATTACTTAGATTGTAATAAAATTAGAAGTAAATTCGGTTCTAATTTTTTTTAACAAAATTAATATATTCACATAAATTTTTTTTAATAATGTTGAAAAATGAGAATTATATAATAGTAGTATTTAATTTAACTATATGAAAAAATGTAGATTATTTATAAACTACAATATAAATAAATTTAAAAAATTAAATTAAAAAAATTATTTATTATTAATAGTTATCTGTTTTCTGTACTAAATTTAATACAATGTACTGAATTTAGTATAATTGTAAAATTTTAAATTTTGAAAAATTTTCTTATTAACTTTAAAATTTTTTTAACTTAGCAGTAATTGTTAGTTTTTATTCAATTCTAGTAGGTGAAAAAGACTTCATTACATATTTACAGAACTATTTTACTACTTAGTTTAGACTATGTTATTTTAACATAAATTGATAACCTTTTGCAGTTACTTATAATAATGTTTATATTATCTTGTTGCACATCTTGTATGTTATAGTATTAGACTGATATTTGCAATCTGAGTTTTTGATACTTTGAATAATATTGTTATTAAACTACTTTGTTTAGTAAGAAGATTTAGTTTTTGTTACTTGCATTAATTTTTAATACATTCTAATTTTATTATTTTAGTTAGTATTAGTTCTTTGTATCTTCTATTATATAACTATAAGAACTTTCAAATTAATATTTTTAAATTAATAATTTTTATAATTTTTCATCTTTGATCTACATATTATTTATTCTTAAGGTATTTGGCAATAATTTAAGATCTGTAATAAACTTACATCTTATGTTAAAATCTTATTATTACTGCTAACTTCCTAATTCAAATATTAGTAATATGTATTTCAAGTACTATTTCTGTTATTATTGTTTTTACAAATAACTTAGATCTTAACATTATATTAGCAAAAAATATAGATCAATATTTATTAATAATTATGTAAACAGATATAATCTTCTTATTAGATTTAATAAATTATAATAAATCAATATATAGTAAAAATTACTAATAATTAATTATATAAATATCTGATTTATATTAATATATATCTAATAAATTTTATACTAATAATTTATAGCAATAATGTAACAACAATACTAGTTTTAAAATATTTAAATAAATAGAAGTTTTATTAATAAATAAACTTTATTATATATATTTAAAACTAATATATTTAATATTAAAAAAATATTGCAATGATAAAAAATACAATATAAAAAAAAGAAAAAAATTATAATTTAAAAAAATATAATACAAAAAAAATATTAATAAAAAAATAATATACAAAAATTATTACTTCTTATTATTTTTTTAAAAATAATTAAAAATTAAAATTTTAAATTAAAAATTCTTTTAATAGTTTATTACTCTTAGCATTACATCTTTTCATCTAAAAAATACAAAACAAACCTAATCTCAAATTGAGATTTAAACTCTTTTTTACAAATTATAAAAAAAATTTATTTAATTTTAATAAAATTAAAATTTTCAATTATATAAAATATAAAATTAGTATCAAACTTATAAAATTATTTTTTTTGATATTAAATAAGGTCTTACTTATATCTTTTATTAGTAGTTTGGAAGTTGATAACTATATAAAGTTACTGAATATAAATAATAATTCTATATAAATACTATAACTAAAACCAATATTTGTAATTAAGGTTAATTATTAGATTACTAACTATATATAACTAACTCTAAGTACAAAAATTAAAAAACTATATTTAAGGGTGTAACAACTTAGTGAAGTGAATAAGTTGTCAACCTCCCAAGTAGTAGGTTGGAAGTTCAAAACTCACCTATGGCAAAAATTTGAAAAACCACCTATGTTATATCAGTATTATGAGAGATAAGTGGTATTATGGCAATAGCATTCTATCAATTAGTTGAAATCAGATATCTTAATATAGTCATACCAGCATAACTAGCAAATTATGAGGCATTTGCACAATATTGAAGTTATATAAAGAAATGTGAACCAGTATTAGACAGTGCAAACCCAAGATAAGTCTTTGTAGTATATAAATTTGTAAACTGGGAAACCAGAGCCTACTTGAAAAGATCTGAGTAAAAAGGTAGTACAGATCTTTAATAGTACTATTATAAAGGCTAGATCTAAAAAACAGATACCAATATGAAAGAAATCAGGTAAGCAAGAATCTTAGATGGAGGTACCACCAATCAAGCTATCAAAAATCTCAAACTGAAAAAAAAGAACTTTAGAGAACAAACTTTAAGATACCAAGAACAGGTTATAGTTCTATCAGGCTATCTGAATTAGAAGTCTGAGGTTGGAAGCAGGATATACTATAAGTACTAAGAATATATTATAAAGCTGGTGCTGAGATCTGGGTAAACTCTACAAAGGCAAGCCCTGTTAATAAAAAAAATTAAATATAGGTAGTTAGTTAGTAAAGGGCCTTCTAAAGTCTTACAGTCAGGTAATATACTCTGAAATGTATAATAGCTTGACAAATATACAGAAAAGAAGGTCATATTATAGGAACTTGTGCACTATTTATCAATATAAGTATAGAGATCAGAGTGTTTAAATAGGTAATTTTCTAGTAGATTGCAGGTATGGCAGTTAGTATAAAACCTGATATGTGAGTGGACTACTTAAAATAGACAACCAAAAGTTGTATATATAGCTAATTGTATACTCACCTTGTACAAGTTATATAATTATAATTAAAAATACAATAAGAATAATAGCTGCTAATAATTACAGCCTTAGTGTAAGCAAAAAAAAAGAAAAACTATATTCTAAAATAAAAACTCAAACATATTTATTTGTAATCTAAATTTGCTAGTTTATAGAATATATTAAAAAATTGAATAGTTTAGATTAAGAATTTTAATATAAAACCTTTAAGTATAATATTAAAATAAAATAAGTTATGATAAAAGAGTGTGTTATAAAAAGATTATGATTTAAATTTTTTGAATAAGTTTTTTTTGTTGTATTGTAATAAAATTTAAGTTAGTTTAGCTAATATGATTAAAAATAATAATTTGTATAATATTAGAGAGTAAAGCTAGATTAGTACATATTTGTCAATAAGTTGAAGTATTAGGTAAATTGAGTTTAAGTTAGTTAGGTTATATGTTGTTTTTAATTATAGTTAGTATATAACCAGATAGATCTTTAATCTATTTCTGAGATAAGAGAGTTCTATTCTTTGTTGTGTTTCTAAGATATCTATATAGCTAAAATATAGACTTTGCAAATGTTTTTAATAAAGCTTCTAGTTGGCTGTTCTATAAAGTGTTGATTTCAATAAAAAATATAGTATAAATTGTAAATATTAGTATAGTTAGTCTGAAAAGTGGTTATGCTATTTAGCAGTAAGTTAGCAAAATTGTTAAAAGTATTATTAAAATAAACTTGCACTTTACAAAATGTAATTTATAAGTTATAAGATTTAATACTATTTAATAAAGTATATTATATAAACTATATATTGAATTTGAAGAATTTGTTGAAGTTAGAAAGTGTAATGTAAATATTGAAGTATTTAGTAATAATTAATTAGAAACCTGTAAAATTTTAATTGTTAAGTTTCAGAAAGTAGTAGAAATATCTAAAAAAATAGCTATTAGTTTTGCTTTGTAAACTAATAGTCAAATTATATTTTTGCAAAGAATTTGTAAAATATTTGGTTGTAATTATTAACATAGACCCAGCCAATACCTACTGTACATTGGTTGATTTTAATATTATTACTAAGTCATTAGTATAAAAGTTAAAATATTTTTGAGAAGTATTAGTTATAAAATGTTGTTTAAGTATATCTGCTGTTTTTTCTGATTTAAAAATCTTAAATACAATAAAGCTAGAAATTGAAATTGTTAAAGTAAAAAGAATATATAATAAATATTTAACTATTCTTGAGTATATAAGGTCTAAGTAGTTGTCATTAAAATTAATTGAATTAAAGCTTGTTTTTTTTTAGAAATTGTATTTATATAATGGCTAATACATTAACAATATACTGGTTTTGAATTTTATTAGAGTTTAGATAGCAACCAGAACAGGATGAATATTGAATTAATAAAAAAGAATAATAAGCAGAATAATTAATATCTATATTGATTTACTAGTATATGATCATTATTTAAAAGTATTCTTGAAATGTTTATGAATTTTGTCAATAATAATTTCATTATTATTATATATAAGTAGCTATAACTTGGATATTTGAAAATGTATTGTAAGTTGTATACAAATAGGTCATGTTCTAGTTGTTAATAATGTAAAAGCAGTACTTATAGCTTTATATCTGAAGTATTTAATTAGGAGGATAATACTAAGTTAATACAAATTGAAGTAATAAAAGAAGTGGTGCATACATAGAAGGTTTGTAGTAAAAGATTAGTCTTATTAAAATTTGAAGCATATTTAGTATATATTATGAAATAACTAAAAATTAAAGATAGCTATATGTATAAAGAAGTTGTAACCTGTTTTTATATATAAAGGTTTCAAACTAGAGCTCTGGTCATACCTATATAGAAGCCTATAATGAAACAAGTAAAATATACCAATATAAATGCTGTAATAATCAAGGTTGTGATATCTAAATTGGAAGTAAAAACCTACTTAAACATGATTGTGAACATCTTAGTCTAAATGTAGATTCAAACTAAGATGTTCTTAAAAAGGCAAAAGAATTGTCTGTAGTTAGAAACAGAACAAAAAAAAATCTGCAGCACTGAGTAACAGTAGGCAAAAATATTAGCCAATAGCTGAAAAAAAATGTTTGCCTATCTCTGAAATGCAGTTCTATCTATATTATAAAAAAAAGTACTTAAGAAGCAGATTAGATGCACAATCTATTAGAAAAATGATGCTAAAACTAAGAAAGGTTGCAAATTAGCAGTAGTAGCAAGAATCTGACTTGAGATATATGTTATTAGTATCTAAATTGAGAAGTTAGCAGTGGCATCAGAGCCTAGCTTAAAATATATGCTAGAGAGGCATCCTTTGGGCAAACCAAAAATAAAAGCTCAAAAAGAGCAAATGACTCTATAGACTAATTTGGGAGTTATTAACAATAAGTTGTGAGACATGAAGAGAATATGCAAGTTATTCAATATAATTAGTAATAAAACAAAAATCCAGATTAAATGTAAGTAGGAGACAATACAAAACTTTGATAGGTTTAGATTGCAGATAAATATGGTTGAGTCCTATATTTAAATAGATATATAGTGATAGATAATATATAAATAGAATTGTATTAGCTATAACAAATATACTAATAAAGACTAGAGGGCATAAACTTATCTTAATATTAAAAAAAAAAAATTTATCAGAAATTCTGTAAAATTTTATATAGAAATTTTTATGAAAAAATTCTAGTATTAATTCAAGATAATTTTAGTATATTTTTTTTTATAAGACAAAAATAGATTTTTTGAATATTAAAAAAATGTAACTTATTTTTTATTGCTTAGGTATTTAGTTAGTTTAAATACATTGATAAAAAAAATAGTTATTGTTTAGAGAAAGGCAGAGCCTACCTGTTTAAGCATTTTATAGCTAATTTCAGATAGGCCATATGTCTTGTTATTAAAAAGTTGGCTAAAAATTATGAAAATTTTATTTAATAAAAATTTAGCTAAACTGAATAGTAATAATTTGAACTAGTTGTAGTATTGAATCAGTATTTTTCCAATCATTTAGAATTAAATTCTTAAGTATCAGTAGGCCTGTAAGCAGTTCAGTTATTAAAGTATTGTTTAATATGTTCTTTGATAAGTTTGAGATCTGTTATAATATTACTTAATGTTTTAATATTGTTAATTTTTACAGGATTCTTGTAATGGTTGAGAATACTATTGATCATTAATTTAGAATTAGTTTGAAGTTTAGAATATTAATTAGTAATATGTTGGTTTAACTATTTTCAGATTTGCTTAATATTTTTTATATTATAAGCATGATAAAGTGCTTGTTATTCAGTATTAGTGCTGATAATCCAGTTTGGTATAAGTTCATAAAAATTAGATATAGAATGAATATTAAGTAAGTAGATTAAATTAAAATAAGAGATAGTATGATTAAGATATATTGGTATTAGTGTTCTATTAGTTAAAGAAGCTTTTACTTGTCTAGTAATACTGATTAATTTTTTGAAATTTTGGTAAAGTAAAATAGATTTAGCAAAAAATAAGTATTGGAAATTAAGAATTGTAGTTGTTTTGTTAAAAATACATTTAATAGCTATATTAATAATACTAGTTTGAATTTTATCCAAGTGGTTTTAAGAGATTCATAGGTTTGAATAAAGAAAAAAGTTTTGTTTATAGTAAGGTTAAGAGAAACTTGATTAACAAAGATTTTCTGTTGTTTTTTATTTATTGCTTTATAATTAAAGTTTCTTTATTGAGTTCAAGTTGAGTATCTGTTTTTGTATATAAATGCATGTAAAAAAGTCCAAGAAATTATAAGAATTTTGTGATTATTTTGGATGCAGTTTTTTATATCATCCAAATAAAATAAGTTAAGATATTTAAGTAAAGAAAGGAGCTTAGAGGTAATTAATAGTACTATAATATTTACTTCTTTGCCAAGTATAAAAGAAGGTATTTGTATAATTAGCTAGATTATAAATATTATTGTATTGTAGAAATTGTAATAGTTTGTATTTAATAAATAAAGAAGTAGAATTATTAGGTGTACATTAAAGTCACCTAGTATTTAAATTAGATATTTTAGTTAGTTGTTTGTTAAATTCATTGAATAATAATATTTTATATTTAAAGTCTTAGTTGTGAGTTTTTATATAGTAAATATGTAGAAATAATTTGTAATTTATAATTATATTTAAAAAAAAAGTTAATAGTAATAACATAGCTATGTAAATTAAGAATATTGTATATATTAGGTATAAGTTGTTTATGAGTCATAAATACAATTCCTGCTTTAGATCTATTGGTACAAGGCCAAAAGTAAAAGTAATGTTTTGAACTATGAAATTTGGTAATAGTATTGTTTTTTAATATTTTTAGAGAATAAAAGATACAATAATCTTTTCAAACTTATTGTTTGAGATTATAAATACAGATTGTAAGGTTTAAAGAAAAAGTAATAGTAGTTTTGGTTTGTGATAGATTATTAGAAATAAGAAAAAGCAAATTGTTTAGAGATAATAATGTAAAAAAAAACTGTTGTATTAGAAAAGGATCTTAAAAGTATATAATCTAAAAAGTTAACTGCATAATGCTATAATAGTAGAAAAAAGTGTCTAAATAAAGGTTTAGATTTATGAAATAAATAAATATAAGCTTTATTCATATCATATTTAATGGATGCTAGAACTGATTTTTAAAGATAATTATTAACAAAAAAGTATTGAGAGATATATGAATAAAATTTTGATATGTATTGTGGTATTAAAAGAAGTAAAAGTTTGTAATATTTAAAAAACATATTGTAATAAGAGTCAAGATAATAATAATCAGTTTTGTTCAAATGAGCAGATTTAACTCCATTCAGTAAATTACAAAATTTAATTATATCATATATAATGATCAAAACATATTATTAATCAATAAAATCGATCAAAATATTTAATTGTGATATTTTAAAAAAAATTGATATGATATCTAACAATATAACTAATAATATATGAAATATAACTGGTAAATGCCAACTTTGTCAAGAGGTTCTCTCTTCTTGAAAAAATCTTGTAATTTATGAAAGAAATAAGCATCAAAATAACAAAATTATACCTCACTGCTATTTACTTAATCAACCTTCTCTTGAGCAAATCACATTTTATCAAGATGCATTTATAGTTCTTATCAAAAAACAACTTGGTTTTAATAGACATTCAATAGGCATAAACAAGTTTTTATTAATGCTTTTTCAGAAAATCTATTTGTTTATCTTTTTGAACAAGAGCCTTCTTTCTAATATAGTTTTGTACAATGAAAATATTCTTGTCTGTTTTAGAATAAGGCTGGTAAATAACAATTAAAACAGTTAGTGAATTATAACTATTAGTATATTCAACAAAATCTAAAATTAAAACCCATTGGCTATGTTTTGTTTATAAATAATGAGAGTTCTTATAAAGTTAATTTTAGTTGGTCACAATCAAAATTAAAAGAAAATGGTCATATTTTTTAATGTAGCACTGTCATCTGTAAATTTTAGTAGATTTAAGAGAATTCTCTGAATGGTATGAATTAAGATATAGAGTTTGAAGAATTTTATATTATTATTAATTTTATTATTATTATTTATTTTGTAAGTTCCATCATGTCTTAGACTTCACAAACACCAAATCATACTGCTTCATAAGAACCAAATCATACTACTTTGCAGGCATCAAATCTACATGTTTATAATACTAATTTGCCTAAGAATTTCTTAAATAATATAAAATCTACTTAAAAAAACTATAGATTTATATTACTTCATGTACTTTTTTAGAAACTTAATTGATAAATAATATATTAGAGTAAATATGTGCTTATATATTTTACTAGCATATCTTATATTGCTTATGTAATGCATTGAAGAGTTTCAAATTTTATTGTGTCTTAGATTAATGGCATCAAGCATTCTATTAATATGATTAATTAATATTTAATGTAAATAAATATATAGCAATATATAGTATAATATGGATTTACAGTTTGCTAATAGGAATTACTATATGAGAATATCTAAAAGCAAACTTAAAATTGCAATAGACAAATAAACTATGTATTGCTAAGGAAATAGCACTCTATCTTTTATTATTACATAATAATATTATTATTCATAGAGACCTTGCAAGTACTATATATTTTATTGAATTTTGTGTTTATTAATTTACTAATTTTCTAATATTGTAATTTAGCATTTGAAAATGACTTCAAACTTATAGAATAGCTGGCATATATTAAACCTTAATGTCTTATTAAATAAGGATATTTCTATGATAAATATTATATACACTGTATATACTGTAATACTAAAATAATACTTTAGGAAATTTCAAGTAAAAATCTGCCATTTCAATTCTATAAATTAAAGATGTAAAAAAAATAAAAACCTAATAAAGGTTACCATCTTAACATATTAACCTTTGTAATTAAATCTGCTAAAAAAAAAGTTTAATAGTACTTATTTCTAACAAAGTTTGAACTGATAATATTCAATTAATTTTATTATAATTCAAGTAAGTACCAATAAGAAGTAAACAAATATATATTAATTAGAGTCATGGATATAGAAAATTTTTGGCCATGCTCTGGAACACTGTGCCCACAGCCCTAATATTAATACATACAATTCATTTAATGAAATATATATTTTTACATCAAATATCTGATATGTATGTATAGTGTGCAAAATCACATATACAAAAAGTTAAATAAAAATGAATTACCTTAAGTTAGAACTAATATATAATAGTAAAATTAAAAAAAAAACATGTTCATATCCTATAAAAAATCTATTAAGATAGTAAGGCTGATATATGATTTGTATCTTGCAATTATTAAACTTATTTAAGATTACTTATTCCATTAGCATCACTCGATCAGTGACTTTTTAACAATAAATGAATTTCTTAATGTTAACTTTTTCAGTTTCAATCCTATCTTGATAAAAATCATTGAGTAAATTAATTCTATTATGTTTGCAAAAAGTAAAAATATATACTATTAGATGTTATAGAATAGATTTGGATTTGAAAAAGATAAATATAAGTATTTATAAATTTATGAAAATAGAGTGATTCTGATAGCATCATATCTAAAATTAGTTAAGAAATTAGAACTTTGTTTCTTTAATAATATTACTTTTCTAATTGCATAAAATAAAATAATATTACATAATTTAAAATAGAATTCAAAATAATACTATTTTTAATTAAATACATTATGAATTTCACTAGCATCATAACTTGTATTTGCTTATTACATAAGTTCCAAAATGAATCTTTGATAAAACCATCTCTAGTTTCAGAAAATTAATTTAAACTCAGATTAAAGAATATGTATTTTCTTTTTATCAATCTATGAAACAATTTTAGCTGTATTTACTTTGCTAATAATTGTTAAAAATACTTTTATAATTAGCATTAAAACTATATACATTTTTTAATACTATTTTTAATTAATGCAATAAATTTTCCTTATTATTAGCACTAATGTTTCAGATATTGATTTCTCTAGGAATACTGTTAACTAAGTAAAAAAGATGTCAATTTTTAAAAGAGATTATATTATAGACAACAGATTCTTTTTCACTTCCACCACCTATAGTAGTACCTCCAAAAAACAGCCAAACCTATTAATAAATTTATTAGAAAATAATGTATAAACTTAATAGCTAAAATTTATATTACCTAATTATGATTTTTTTTCTCTATACTTAAGGTAGAGAAAATTTGTAAAGAGAGACCTTTCACTTTTAACTGCTGCAAAAATAAAGGTATATGTTTTGCAAATACATGTATATATAGTATAACATCTGCCTTTCAATAAAGTCTAGTATTTTGTGAAGAATTTATATAATCCTAAGTTGAACTGCAAAAAATTTAAATCCAATTTTCTGCATCAATCTTATATTGATAAATTTCTTGATCAGAAAGTTATGATTGTTATAGAACATTATATAATTAGTAAAATTCATACCATAATTGTTCAATATCTTTTCTACATATGCCTAAAATAAACTAATTTACTGAAAATTTTTCTAACATTCTTTTTTTATCAAAACCTATTACAAAGTTCAATTCTACTTATTACTTGTAGATTTAAAAAATTTAAACTGAATTCTAAGATTTTTAAATGTTGCTTCAATAACTGGCTTGATTTGTTTTTCAAATTCTTTTTTTTTAAATAAATCATTAAAAAACATTCTATTAAAGTATCTGCTATGTGCAAGAGCAAATGCAACTCATCAGAAATATAATTTTTTTGATCAATTGCTAGAAATAAGTCTAGTTTTTTAATATTTAATAAAAAAAATAATATATATAACAGTCAGATATATTATATATTAAAAAATTTTTAAATTTTAATTTTAAATATTTTACTTCAAAGTAATATTTCAATCAATTTAAAATCTGTCAATTTGACTATATAAAATCAACTTAGTTAATTATACACAATACTAAACTTAAATCAACTCTATTAAGTCAACTTTCTAAACTAATTTTATTAATTACAGTATATAATTCTAAATTGATTACAATCACTATTTCACAAACAGAAATCTTATCAACTCTGGAAAAAAAAATTAGTTTTTGTAATGTTAAAATCAATTTTTCAATATTAAATTCAATAAAATATAATTACTATATAAGTGCAAAATAACACCCAGATATGCCCATATGTATTATTTTAACATAAGTTGATTTTTTAAGCCAACTTTCTATAAATGCATATCATTATGAACATATGTATAGTGATGAAAAAAATGCACATTAATGTGCATAATATTACAGGATAAAAAAAAGGCAAAAAAAAGAAAAAATAATCAAGAGAAGAGAAATCTTGATGTAATAAAATGCACATAAAACAGAATTATGCATATAAATGTGCATTAATGTGCATGATTCTGCAATCATATGCATACATGAAACCCATCTCTATATATGCACTTGTAAAATTAATTAAATTAGACTTTTCAAATAATATGCCATATAAAAGTAAGACATATATGAAATGCATTTATAGATGATATGCTTGTGAAAAGTTAACTGTATATGCATAATGCCAAGGAAAATAGAACTTCAATTATATAAAACTTATATAATTTAAGTTCTATTTTCTCTTAATATCATTTATATTATTTGTTGCAATAATAATTATTTGCCATATTGAGATGTGTGCTAATGGAATACATATGTGTATTAATTCAGGACCATATAGGCTATTTTTGAAACTCTCAATTATAATATCTACAAGTGTTATTTTACACTTATATAACAGTATTTAGAATTTAGAATTTTGTTTATAATTCTGTAATGCAGAAGTTAAATTTTCAAAAATCAAAAATTTTAATATTTTATTAAATAATAATTATAAATTTACATCTAGAATTTTCTGTATTAGCCCAATTTTGATCCATGTTCTATTGAGATTTCATATCACTATTACAGTATAGACAAAAGTAATTAGTATTGAAGCCTTTAATCTCATTATAATATACATAAACTTCTAATCTTCACAAAAATAGAATTCTACTAGCAAATAAATACCATCACAATTGAAAAAACCATTGTTTTTTAGTTCTAAAAGCTGATATTCGAATATATGTCCAATCTTTACCAATGTATTATAGTTTTTATACCTGATATACAAACAAATACTTAAATAACAAGCAATTAAAATTTATAATTAAAATGACAACTGATTAAAATTATTTATAAAACCTACCAATATTGATAATCAGGCTTTAAAACTTAATTACCCTCATTTAAAAGACAAAATGACATCATTATATGGTTTTGTTTATAACCTACATTATAGCCATCACTTCCAAGTTTTAATCTAATTATATCTCTAAAATAAGAATTAGCAAAGAAGAATGTTTCCAAATAGAAAGCAAGATATCTAAAATAGATTTTATTGACCTATAAATGCCATTTTCTATTTCTGATTGTTCAACTATTATTTTTTCACTATGTTTAAGTAAAGTATTATCATCAGAACTGTACTGGTTATCTATATCAATATTAAATATTTCAATTTTGACTTTTTTATTTATTATATTTGTTATTTCAATCATTCATGCAGTAACTTGGTGCTCTTAAATAAGTCAAGACTCAACAGCAGCTAATCGATATTAGCTATTTCAGTATAATAAAGATTTATCACATGCTCGAACAATGGCATTTGATTTGGCAAGCTTCATTTTTTAATTAAACAGCTAGTAATTTAAATTAATAATATCATTGTTAATATTGTTAATATTTAATTGAATATTATGCATATGAACAATAGGTTGCTCATTTTTGGCAACTAATTGATAATGTATAATTAGTGCTAAATGTCTTTTTTAGAGTCTTTTTCAAAAGTGATCAATCATTTATTTTGCCCTGATATTGATTGTATAATTGAAAAAGGATGCTTTCTAATACACTTTTTATTAAATATTGTAGATGTTAAAGTTATTTCAGTTCTGTTTTCAAAATTTAATTGTTTATCTGAATTTTTACTATTAGCAAACTTTAAGTACCATTCAAATGCCTTTTTCTCATCTTTACAAACACCTATACCATCCTGATAGCAATTTTCAACACTTAGTCATCCATCATTATTTTCACATTCAACTGATTTTAAATATTACTCAAATGCTTTTTTTGCATCTTTAGAATGCCTATTCATTTTGGTAGCATTTTTTAATACTTAATTTTCTATTAGAATTTTCACACTCAGTGGATTTTAAATACTACTTGAATGCTTTTTTTGCATCTTTAGAACACCTATTCCATTTTGGTAGCATTTTCCTAATACTTAATTGTCTATTGAAATTTCCACACTTAGCAGATTTTAAATGCTATTCTGATGCCCTTTTTCTATCTTTGGAAACATCTATTCCATTTTGGTAACAATTTCTAACACTTAATTGTCCATTAGAATTTCTACTTCTGGCTGATTTCAAGTACCATTTAACTGCCATTTTTTTATTTTTAGAAATGCCTATTTCATTTAGATAACAGTTTCTAATACTTAATTGTCTATCAGAATTTCCACTTTCTACAGATTTCAAGTACTATTCAAATGCCTTTTTCTCATTTTTAATAACACCTATTTCATTTTGGTAACAATGTTTAATGCTTAAACTTCTATTAAAATTTTCATTTTCAGCAGACTTTATGTACTATTCAAATGCTTTTTTTTTATCTTTAGAATGCCTATCCCTTTTTAATAGCAATTTTCAACACCTAATTGTCTATTAGAACTTCCACTCTTAGCAGATTTTATGAACCATTCAAGTGCCTTCTTCTCATCTTTAGGAATGTCTATACCATTTTGATAACAATTTCTAGTATTGAATTGTTCATTAAAATTATCTTCATTATGCTTTTTGTTAATCTTTTAAACTGAATTTAATCTATGTTCCTGTTTTTTACTTGGGCTTAAATTTCTATCAAATACTACCAATTCAGTATAATGTTTTTGACAAAGTTGATTATTTAACTAAGTTTAACCTTTAAATTTGGAGCAATAGGACTTTGCATAGCTTTAAGCAAAAGATTTGATGTTAGTTTGCAAAACTTTTCTCTAAGGTCATCATTGCTATATATTGCACATGAACCTATATTTTTACATTGTGATTTCTTTGGCATTGTCACTAATAAGTTTTTATTCTTGCAGGATCTTTAAAACTAAAGTCTTATTGAATATAAAAATAAAATTTCAAACTGTTATATATTTGGAAAAATTGATATAGTTCTATTTTTACAAAGCTCTAAATATTATTAATATTTATTATTGTATTTAAATTAATCAACCAATTAATGTTATTTTTATAATAATCACATTTTTTTGTAATCAAAGTCAAATCCACCCATATGTTCAATTAGAGAGTTTATTTAGTAGGTTAGTAGAGTTTGTATAAATTTTAACATTATATTGAATAGCAATTTTGTTAACAAGATAGTTTTGGAGAATTATAAAATTATTTGGTATAATTTAAAGAGTGATGTCTGGTTCATATTTTTCAAAAAGGTTGGATAAAATAGTATTTGAGAAAGATAAGTTATTTTCTATAAAGTTGTCTACTGTATGCTTAGCTTGCACAGTTGTATAGCATACTATAGCATGTTCTGTATCTTAGATCTGGTTATTATTAATCTAGTTTTTTACATAAAAGTATAACTTCTTTATAAATAAACATTATAATAAATTTAGATTTTTTAATTGTTATAATTTTAATTAATAAACTAAAATTGCTTTTTATAACTAGTTTGTTAATTGTAACAAAATTGCTAATTAAACTAGAATAGAAATCTTTAAGAATTAGTTTTAAAAAATCTAAAGTTTAAATTTCAAATCATATAAATATAGATAAAAAAGAGTTTTCTAAAATAAATTAATTTTTAAATTAATTTAAAGATTAATCTTATTAAGCTGTAATTAGTTAATTTATATTAAAGTTATAAACAATATTAATGATAAAAAGGTATTTAAAATTATAAATAAGTATATAAAAAAAACTTTTGATAGTTTTTTTTTTTTAAATATTAACAGTAAGGTATGTCTTTAACTTTATTGAAATTCAATTGAAGTTTTTATAAAGAAAAACTTGCTTTTAAATTACATATAAAGAATTAAGACTCAAACATATAATCTGTGATCTAAACCTACAAGAGTAACCAAGACTAATTTAAATTTGGGTTTAAGTAATAATATAAAAGAAAGGAGTATAGTATTTAATCTATTAAATAGTTTAAAGATCAATTTTAGTAATAAATTGTGATATTAAAATAGAAGATAAAGATAGACTAGAAGAAAGACTATAAGTTGAGTTAGTAAAAAGTGTAATTTGAGACTATGCAGAATGTGAAATATAGTATAGAATCTATATTTGTTTGTCTATTTGTTGGTTTAAGTAAAAAAGAAGTTTGATAAAAAGTGTAGTAGCAATATAGTAAGAAATAGAAGTATTATGAATAGTAGAAATAAGATTAATAGAAACTAAATTATATAGAATAGAAATAAGGAAAAATATATATGAAGAGTTATGCAGTTTAAAACTGTTAAGTATGGGAATAGCTTTTAGATAGTTATAATATAGATGAAATATATTATAATTTAAAAAATAAAAATAAATAAATAAAAAAATAAGAATTAGATAAAAAAATTAGGTTTCAAAATTATTAATAGATTTTCTATAGAGTTAGTAAATTTTTTAGTTTTTTTTAAGAAATTTGAAAAAATGTTTGTATTTGAATATTTTCAAAATTAGTAAAAAATAAAATTCCTAAAGCAACTCAGTAAATTTTTTGAAATTAACCAATAGAATTTTAATAAAAAATTAAATAAGATTTCAAAGAAAAATATTTATAACTTAATGAATTTTAGTCTATTAAAGATAAAATTTATATTAAAATAACTATTTTAATAAGCTTGAATATTATTGTTTAATAAAAAAATATAAGTTTATTTAGTAAAATTTGTAAAAAATTAAAAAAGTATATTTTTTTAAAAATGTAATTAAAATTTAATAAAATTAATATAATTGCAAACAAAAAATTTAGTGTAGTTAGTTTATTTTAAAATAAAAAAGTATAATTAAGTATAAGTTAAAAAAAATTAAAAAGAATATAAATAAAGATAATTTTATTAAAATATAAAATTTTATTATATTAAAAGATTAAATATAAATAAATTTATATTTTTTAAGAAAAAAAATAAGTTTAATTAGAATATTAAAAGCTATTAGTTTAATAAAATATTGAAAAAATTAAATTATTTGTCAGTTGTCAACTCTTCAAGTGGTAGGTTGGGTGTTTAAATCCTATTGATAACAAAAATTTAAATAATTGCTTATATAATATTTATTTTATAATAACTGTTACTAACAATTAGGTTAAAATACCTGTAATAACAGTTATACTAGCATGACTGGCAGATTATAAGGCATTTGTGCAATAATGGAGTTATACAGAAAAATGCAAACTGACAACTAGGCAGTGCAAAAACTAAATAAGTCTTTGTAGCTGTATAAATCTATTAAAATTAGATAACAAGAAGTTAATTTAAAAAAACTTAAGTAAAGATTAGTCAGATCTTTAATGATACTACTATAAAGACTAGGCTAAAGAAACAGATACTAAAGTCTTAGTAACCAGACAGGCAAGAACCTCTGAGTTGAGAGTATTAAAGATATCACCAATCAGGTTACCAAAATAAACTGAAGAAAAAGAATATTAAGCTAATCTAATATACTGATAGACTAGTTATAGTTCTATACAGTCTACTTGGAATAGAAATTTGATAAAATTTAGAAGTATATTAAAGTACTGGAATTATACTATAAAGTAGATGCTAGGGTCTGAGTAAACTCTACAAGGGCATAGTAGTTTAATGGTTAAGTTCTAACTGCAAGTATTGGTTATGACATAGCAATACCTAGGTCAGCTATAAAAATAGATACAGAAGACTCTAAAAGATTTATCTTAAGGATAAAATAATTCTAAGTTTGAGATAATAATTCGGGCATCTAGGTATAACCCAGTAAGTTAATACAGGTTACAGATTTAGAAGGTTTAAAGTGAAACATCTGAGCAGGAGTGTTAGATACAGCAATTAGTAAAAAATCTTTAGGTGAACTCTTTAAATAAGTAATATAGAAAAGTTATACATATAACCAATTATATGCTCTTTTGTAGTAGTTCATAGAATCACATTACCAAAAGTTGTTAATAAAAGTCAAAAAACTAAAGAGGTTACCTTAACAAAAAAAAAATTTTATTTGTTAGAAGAAAGTTGGTTTTAGAGTTTACAAGAAGAGTTAAATAATAAGTATTATTATTTAATATATTAAAATAAGTAAAAAATTAAATTATTTATTTTTATATTAGTTTTATTTTATAAAATATAGTTATATAATTGATTATAGTTGTAGTTTAATTAATATTTTAAAATTAACTAATTTTCATCTTAGGTAATAATCACTTATAATTATTATTATAATTTTGTACAACATAGTTATACAAAATAAACAAAAAAATAAAATAAAAAATATTTTTCTTGATTTTAAAATTAGAACCCAAAGCTCATATTAGATTAGAATTTAGCAAGATTTATAATAAAATTTTGTAAGAAATTTTTCTATTTAGAACTTCAAAAATAGTTTTATAAGCAAAATTTTAAGATAATTTTACTACAGATAATGATTATCTGTAATATAAATTAGCAAACTCCTAATATTTTAAGAATAAATCTAATTATAATAATCTGTTACATGCTTATTTGTAACAACTCAATTAGTATAACTAATAAAAATAACTAAAACTTTATGTAACCCAAACCTTAACCCTACCTACTATTGGCTAATCTGAGATTGTTATATGTAATATGTTGTTACAAATACATTAATTCATATTTTAATTAATATTTTTTATATATAATATATTAGTTATATTATTTTTATTTTATTAATTTTAATTACAATATATAATAAAATTAGATTTATTGTATAATAAAACTTAAAATATTATCTCTATAGTTGATAGCATAGTAGTTATGCTTTGAGGTTACAAATCACATAGTTGCTAGTTCAAATTCCAGTAACAGCAATTGTAGAAATACATTTCTAAAATAGTGAATTGCAATACTGTAAAACTCGAAACCTGAATGTTATTAAATGAACTTATTTTTAGAAAAAGCAATTGACCTGCAATTAAAAAACCATCTGTTAATAAACACAAGTTAGAATCTGATTTAGAATAATTGAAATCATAAAACATAATGTGAGGCCAAAAGTCTGACAATAAAAGATACTATATGAACTCATAACAACAGCTGGTTCTAGACAGAGCCTGGCAAAGGCTTTCAATTCTGGCAGAGGTTAGTATGACAGATTGTTCTTAAAAAGTTTAAAAGCACAGACCAGGAGAGGTTGAGATCTAGTGACTAAGAACATTAAGAACATTAGTTTAAGATATAGTATATAAGAATAATCTTCTGATATTTAAAAGAACTCTTTCTGCAAATCCATTACACAAAAATTAACTAAAAAAATCATTTGTATAAAAATATTTATATCTTTTTATTTTACTAAGATAACCTGTCCTGGCGTCTTAAGTAAACTTGTTCAGCTCATCAATTTATATATA